ATTTGCAGCTTTATTTATGATATTGTCCACAGAAGAAAATTAGATTTATTGCCATTTGGTCATTGTAATCATGAATGATTAAATCATGTAAATATAAATAACCCTCAAAATTTGTATTAATTATCCATTTAGAACATATTTTAGTCATCGCCCATGTACGGAAATGACGACATCAACACGGGAATGATAATGAAATGATTGTTAGTACAAAAATAAAGAAAATTAACACTTTTAAAAATAGTAATACAAACTAAAAGTAATACCCTCGGCAGTAATCCTCTCCTTTTATTTAATTGAAGATTAAGTAAAACTGTCACACACTCTTGATGATTTTTACTAAATAAATTTTTGAGGCCGCACAGTGGGCCAGATTGGAAAAAAAACGCGATCGAAATTCATACCGTCTTAGTTAATAATTTTTTATAGTTGTGTTGCTATAGGTTGTTTAGGCCACTGAATTAATTTTGAGGAGATTTTAGTGCTCCGAATTAAAAGTACCCCTAGACAGAGGGTGACGTTAAAGAAAATGAAAGAATGATATTACTTATTAATTTTTGCAATTGTACCGATGTTAAAAAAATATTTATTGTAAAATTGTCAAAATCGTAGTTAAAACTACCTTATATTAGGGGGTAACATTTGTATAATAATTAGAGATCGGGAGTTAGCGATAAATGAGGTCAATTCACCGCGTAAATATGTTCATGCATGTATAATACAATATGTTCCTCTGTGGTTATTTTGGCGAGTTCGGTAATATCCAAAATTAATACAAACACGGCTGGTAAATGTAATACTAATATACACATGTATTTTTAACTAATTACAATTGCAAGAGTAACAGTCTATAGTTATTTATTTGTGGCATCCTATAATGTATTTCCCTAAGCCACTGCCCTACAAATTATTAAAAAAAAAAAATATCAAATAAATCTTTGCGTCAAAAGGATTAGTCTATGCAAATATATAAACAGGAAACTATCATTTTTGATACTGCTTAAAAAGACAATCTTCTATCAACGAAATTTTCCTCAAATTTGGAGAACGAAATCGGAGAGTATTCCGAAACGTAAATTTTAAATCATCTAAAATATTTGATATTTAATTTTCATTTTCAGTTTAATATTTTTTAGGCATAAGATATATTTTTTTAGGCATAAACACTTTTTTCAAACACCAACCTTTGACTAATCCCGAGACTAATTCTTTTGGCCCAGAGGTTTATTCAATAAATTTCTTTTAAATCAGTTATAAGACAGTGGCTTAATATTTGTGTTTTCATCAACATTTACTAAGAGTTTGCTGAATTTTAAAATTTTAGAGCACATCTGTTATTTCTTCATTACATTTTCAGAGATTATTTTCTAGAATAGTTACCTCCCAGCAAATTTTGGTTTAATTTGACGTCGAGACTACCTAAATTATATAATAAATTTAGTCGCTTTAGTAGTTCAAATTAAGTTAAATTGACTAAAATAAGTAGAAGTACACATAAGTCTTCTTTGTAGTTGCACAGTTTGTGTGGTTACTAATACGTATTTAGGTACATTTGACTTCATTTCGACGTCAATTCGACATCGAGTTGACTAGTTTTAGGTAAAATCTACGAATTTATGTGCAAATGGCAAAGGACTCCTAGTAAAAAAAAAAAGAAGAATTTTATACTTATTTGGTATTTTTCACTATAAGTAGTAGCAACATTTTTGACAGTTATCCACAAAATTGAAAAGATACCTAAGTCATAGTAAGATAGAAAATAAATGAATGTCGGTGATAAACATAAATCCAATTTAATTGCGTAGTATCAGAAGTTCCCGGTTATTTAAATTAATGGGCCGAAAATTTTTCCGTGCATATTAGCATCTGTACTTTGAAAAATAACCATTCGCCTCCAAAATATTCTTTAATATAAAAATTTCTATTATCAAGTAAAAAAATTTTAATTATAGTTTTTTATACTTGTTGAATATGACTTCGCAATTATAATTATGTATTTTTTTTCCTTTTCATCAGTTCGTTTCTATACAAACTCATTTTGAAAATTTCAATTTCAAATAGTACTACAACTGTGGTAAAAAAATACGACGACTTGCACTATTTTGACCTTAAGGTTCACTGCCTTTGAACATGTAACTACAAAGGATAATTGACTAAATGGTAGATAAGCTAGGTAGAATTCATCCACTTTGTCGACCTAATATTACTTTAAAGGAGCGTAAAAAAGGCGACCAAATAGGTTACTATGTAGGTACAAATTACATGGAATTTCCAACAAAATCTACCTAGTTAAAATATTCTACCATTATGACGATTTCCAGTCACCAAAAAAGGTAAATATTACCTAATTATACTACACCTATTTAGACTATTAGAAATGTACTGGAATGACAAAATTCCATTTTTTTTTCGGTCATAAAAAGTTTAAACTAACAACTAGTAAACATTTTTATACACTTCGTCTAATCAAAATTTTTATTGACTTACTTATAATTGGAGTGTAATATTCACCATGGCAATGATAATACTTCAGGTTACACAACATAAAAATTCGCGGAGAATAGAAGGGCATTCCTTGCTGGTTGAAATTCTACTGAGGTATCACTTCCTCGCCTCCGTTTCCATGAATAATAGTAGTTGATAGGTGTATACATGCAGAAATCCATTTAAATTCGAACTGAAGCTACTCCATGGAAATGACGCAATTTTATCGAGGACACACACGATTTTCTTAATAAAAAATTGGGTTAATTTGAGGATTTTGATTTTGGATTTACAGGGATACATTCCTCAATTTTTCTGTGTTCTGTGTTTTTTCAAGGTTTACAACGGAATGTACCAACTAGACCGATTTGGACATGCTACGGGAACGATTGTAATACCACTCAGGAGTTCATTGTAAAATGAGCAGAAAAAAATTTTCAATAGGACCCATGTTGCTAGAGACAATATTGTAAACGATTTTTTCTGTGAATTTTATTACCCATTCTTATGACTAATTCGACCAAAGACACCAAAACAGATTCTCTGGAGATTTATCCATACTGGAATGCGCAAAGAGTAGTATATATCCTAGAGTATTCCTGGAGTGGGCTGAATCATTGATGTGAGGATAACACTGACGTTAGTTTCCCACAAAACACCAAAACGCCATATACTGCACACGACGTGCGTTTCGCCAACCAAGTTGGAATGATATGCAGATGATTAAAAACTTTTGTGGAAAACTGCATTAATGTGATTCTAGAGTATACAATATACAGGGAAGGATCGTAACAGTTTATATATGAGAATTATAAATTTACGTCAATATTGTTAGTGTGGCAGCGCTAACAATGATTTAAAAAAATATATGTTTTAAACCAGAACATTTCTGCCGTTTGTGTAAATACACATATCGTAACGGCATGTAAGTGTCCTATCACATATAGTATGTCCATTAATTTTTGAACGAGTGATATATATTTGTATTTTATATTTCGAATGTTTCTATAAGAGATAACATCATTTAATGTAATCATTTGTAATGTAATGTAATGATTTGATTGTTGTATAATTATCATCCATTTATAATACGGATACATGAGTATCCGTATTATAAAGTCACTAACTGCTTGCTATAGACACCAGTAGTAATAGATACAGTAACTTAGCTTGTTTTGAATCACCGCTATCTGCTTGTGTAACCGCTTGCAATAAACGTTTGAATAATGGCTTGTTTGTAAATATCTAATGGTAGTAGTTTCCGGAACTTAACAGTACTTGATAAACTGATCCCCATGCTTGCATTATCATGACCTTTTGCTTGGTTCCTTGGTTGTTTGTCTATATAATAGGTTTACTATATATATATATATATATATATATATATATATATATATATATATATATATATATATATATATCCTGTATTTTATTTTTTTATTATATTGTAAAACCAGTCTTAAATAAAATAGAGGAAGTAAAGTTGATATTCTGAATTTTATTTAAAGCAAAGGTATAAGTTACAAATCTGGTTGTACACCGATAATCATTTTCGGCAGGTAAAGTGAAGTTGTCCATTTCTACGAAACCGACAACCATACACACCGATCCCTGGACATACCGTTTCTTCACTGAATTACCCTAGCTTCTATTATATCACTGACAGAATAAAGTGGTGTTCCTACACTTTAAAACACGAACTTGCGCTCGAGACCGTACCGTAATAAAAAGTTAAAAGTGCCGCTGCTGTTTTAAGGGTGCCAAAGTAGCAAAGTGACAAATTCCATTTGGCGTACGTCACAATATGAAGAAGTCATCTGATAACTATACTATTTTTAGTAATTACGGAAAACATAATTAAAAGTGCGGCCATAATATTGACTTGTAAACTTTTTCCGTGCACTCCCTTCATCATCTTGTTTACAGTCGACCAGTATGCTATTAGCGCCGCTGGCGATGGGAGCTGGTTTACTCTGTTTCATATTGTTTAGTTAATATTTGCACTTGGAATTTCATTTTCTCATCACCACAAAGTTATTTGACTACGTGTAAAGTTCGTAAAGAAGAATTCTAAAATAGAAATTAAACAAAAAGTAAACACTGTCAATTTAAAAACTGGATACAGGATGTTGATAATAAGTTATGGTGAAAAAACGAAAATAAATAATTTTTGTTTTTTGACCATATCCCCCTTCCGATGCAGGTAATGAAGTTTTCTCAGAGCTATTTTATTTAGTATAAAATTATGCAAAAGTGACAAATCCCCCACCCACCCTCTATTTTTTTACGATAGGTAAACAAGGTCCCCGGAGAAACATTAGAATTTTCCCAGAGACTATTTATCGTTAAAATTAATCCTGGAATAAAAAAATACCGCATCTATTTTTATTATCCAGTAGTATCCCAATTAATTTTTAAGAAAATGTCCTTGAATCCCTACAGCAGACCACTGGTTGGGAGAGATTATATTTTCGGTTTAAATTAAAGTCACTTGTAAATATTTTTTACGAGATGTAGATTCGTTGTCGAGTGGTAAAGACTCTTAACTTTCACCTTGGAATCCCGGGTTCGATCTCCGGTGGAGGAGTTAGAATTTCTTTCTAAACCAGAAATTAATTCTATTATATTCGGACATTGGGTGTGTGTCTATTGTCTCTAAATGTGCATCCCTCTATCACACAAGATACCTTGATGCACCTTCAGGGATACAGGGGGTTGTATTACCTGTGGTATTTAATTTAATTTAATTTAATTTCATTACGTGTAAAATATTAAAAAAAAAATTATTTATGTTCAAGAGTTACTTCCATAAGTTAATATTAATAATATTAATAACTATAAGTTTATTTATTTTGGCAGTTTCTATCTCTATGGGCGTCGTCCCCCTCTTTCTTTTGCAGACAATGAACCAATGAATGTTTTTCATTAATATATGGACAGGTAGGTCCTATAATAGAAACCAATAAATTACAATGTTAAATAATTTAAAAATTGCATTCACAAATAAATTTTATTGCAATTTTTCAGTCATCTATCTTCTATATAATTCTTTATTTAAGAGTGCTCCGGAGTCACCAGACAATTCATATATTTAACCTAAATATTGCCCATAAATCTTGTAAATATTAATTAATGGAAAACCGACAGAACTTCCTACATTGTACAACTTCAATGCCATGTAGACAGATTATTTTAAAATCAAAATTATATTTGATAAGAACGTAATTTTCAATATTCTCATTTCCAACCAAATACAAAATTAATTACGTTCTTATGAAATGTAATTTTGATTTTAAAATAATCTGTCCACATGGCAATGAAGTTGTAAAATGTAGAAAGTTCTGTCGCTTTTGCATAAATTTATATTTACAAGATTTATGGGCAAAAATTGGGTTAAGTATATGGTGGGTTACCTGTTGACTCCAGAGCGCTGTTAAGTAAAAATTCGGTACCCTCAATTTCTTATTAAAGATGGCCGTTAGCTATAAAAAGGTGCCAGAACAGTGCCTCATATGGTTTGAACAAGACCGTATTATCCAGGGCCGCTGCTAGAGTGCTTGCCGCCCATGTGCAGATTTACCTTTGCAGCATCTCTCATATCCCTAATTTGCCACATTATTTAATATAATCGTAAATAAAATTTGATACCGCCGACATAAATAGTATAACTGACAAAAATAAAATACATAGGTACATTTTTAAAACTTAATTAGTTAGAGATAGGTGAAAGATATGAAGTCATAGAAATAATAATTGATTAAATTAAAAGTTCTTAAAGTTTCTATATAAGGTTTTATATAATAGTTTATTAAAACTGTGGTCTTTGCACATTAGTTACGGAGTTCTTTTTTAACTAGAGTTTATTAACTTCTCTCGTGCTTTGGTTTCAGATTGTTTTTATAACATTGCTCAGATAGATTGCTTCACACATTTCATGTTCTGTGGATAGAGTAGCTAGAGCTAATAATCCTTCTTTGAGTCACGGAAGCCTGTAGATAGCCCTAAGCCGCATGTTCGTCAAAACACTAAGAGTTTTTATTAACTTTTCGCGCTTTGGTTTCAAATTGTTTTTATAATATTGTTCAGATAAATTGTTTCACACATTTCATGTTCTGTAGATCGAATAGCTAGGGCTAATAATCCTTCTTTGAGTCACGGAAGACTGTAGATAGCCCTAAGCCGTATGTTCGTCAAAACACTAAGAGACTTTGTATTATTAAGTATTAAACGCACCGATACCGCTAGACAGCCGAATAAACCTTGGCGTATAAAGGGTAGGCAATAAGACAATCATCTTGTATTTATTGGATACATTATACAAGTGTCACGCTTCTATATAAACAAAAACAATATGCGCTTTCTTGGTAATTAAATCAATGTCGAAACAAATATTTTTATATTATTTATACATTTTTCAGATAATTTGTCTTTTTTATTCTACAAAAATAATAATATTTGTTAGTATTTACTGCGAAGAAGCATTCAGACGCATTTCTAAAAAATTTTACTTCACCCCCCTGGGAATCTTGGAGGAGACGTCCATGTATATCTTCGTTAGGTAGCAATAAAGGGATTATGATTATTGAGTACTGAATTGATGTTTTGGACCATAAGAACCTCCCCTTCGAATGTTTATACTGATTTTCCAAACTATGCTATGATTCCATAAAAGCAGTAAATGCTTTAACAAAATCGAATTTACAAAAAAAGTCCTTGGTGTTTAAAATTTTTGTTATTTTACAAGTCACATATATTGCAATTAAATTTTAATTAATTTATTACTTTTTCATCTATCTATATTGATAGGGAGAGTATTGGCGTCGCATCGTGAGAAAAAACTAGATTCCAGATTATGATGGAAACGAACATTTTGAAGCCAGAAAATAGAAAATTTACCCGAATTGGTATGCCATCTGTATATCTGTGTGTCTGAGTGTCAGTGTGTCGCTGGCCATTTGTAGTGACCGCATTTTCTCAAACACGTCTTAACGTGGAAATCTGAAATTTAATATACACTATTTGTGTATCTACAAAATATATATAGGATTTTTCTATTTAGACAATGAACGTCACTTTTTGACAGACTAAATAGATTTAGGATATCATACCGAACACTTCCACTCAACAAATCATCTTATCAGACATATCCCTCAGGACTGAGCACAGAACGCATACTATGAGGGTTAAAGCAACGACGCTAAACAAGGGGGAAAATCTGTCATATTTTTACATAGGATTTGGTATTTTCCAACGAAAAACGGACGTATGCATTTATTAACTTTGCTTTATAAGTATAGAGATAACATAAATCAACATAGTGAAAACATAGTAGATAAACTGAAAATAATTAGGACTTGTGTAATATGTAAACATTAATGAGATAATTTGAAATATATTTTAATTATACACATATTCATAATATTATGTAGATTATGGTAAAAACTTTTCAAGCTGTGTAAATCAGATACTTGTTTAAAATTATCGAATATTTGAAAAATAACTTGCCCTTACAAATATAGGCGTAAGTATAGCTAGATTTGATTTGTGTTCAATGTCTAAGTGATTTTGACTTATTGAGAAAAAATTGTCCAACGAAAACAAACTAAGCTCTATTACTGCTCTCTGCAAAAACTTTAATCCTGGACATTTAGCAATAACTTGCTTATCACAGTCGAAGTTTTTGATTAAATTATGTTACAAAACCCGTTGAGTTCAATTTACAATCTTTTTCAAGTATTTATTATATATTTTATATTATAAATTATTATTCAATGTGTTCTCTATTTGTTAAACGGAGTAAGTAGGTACGGACACCATTTGAAGTGCAAAAGAGGGCATTCTCTCCTAGAACCCTTATCTCCATCTTTATTCATAGAACCATTAACAATTGACGTCACTACACACAATATCGTGGCAACATCAGATTTCTGGGCATGGCCGCCTTCTGCATGTGGCCTGCCAGCCATTTGGCTGATTTTTGGCAGGCCGGTATGGTCTTTAGTTTCTAGAGCGACGTGGGTTTTATTCTTCTTTATCTTGAACTTGGGTATACCACTTGGAGCTCATATCGGAAATCGCGATATTTGGTTCTCTTGGTGCCGAAAATTCGATGACATACATCACCTTGGTTTGATGACTGTCAGGCTTATTGGCTTGGATTAGCCTGACTCTCGGGAACGAGTAGTTCTGGTAAATTCGGTTTCTCGTTTTCGACAATGTATTCAGTATCTCCGGAGATGTAAGGCATCATTGGTGTTTGGTCTACCCATGCGAGTGCCTTTAGATGGTAACATAGCACACGCGAAGCAGCGTTATGGTGGTGGATGTAGACCGAAATTATATTACAGGACATTCTGGAAGTAAGTGCATAAGCGATTCCGGCTCCTGACGGCAGGTCCCGAAGTTGATACTAGAAACCTCATAACGTCATATGCGCCTGCGGTAGACCATGGTGTTGATAACACCATCCTGACAGGCCACAATGACTTCCTCGGTCTCCGACTGAAGCTCGGCTGACTTTAGGAAGACGAATGCCAGCTAGGTTGATAAACACTGTGTTTCTATGTTCTTCTAGAAGACATTATGCTGGAGATGATCGATATGCTACAGAAACAAATTTTCCTGCTTAACAGCTCTGATTTAGACTTTCAGTCAATTCGGCTGAACCTCAGTGACTGACACCAGCACCTCACCGGTCCCCTCGCCTGGTGTTGAAATCGAAACCGAGTTCATCTGCGGTTCTTTTTGCTGCCTTGAACAATCCTGCTTCCACTCCTGCAGTTTCATGATGTTTTACAAACTGCAAGAAGTGATCTGAGGTCCTGAGGATGTTACATATCATATTCAGTACTACTTTGCCAGGTGTATATTCCAGAGACTCAAGAGTCCTCGGCCAACCTATTGATGTGAGTGGTACACTGAGGAATGGACGATCTAGGATAAATATTTCTGTGAATATTCATCATCTTGCAGGTATCTCTGTTTAAATGGCGCAGCTTACCCATTATCCAATTTACTACTTCAGATCACTAAAGCAGAACTGGAACTGCACGTATAATAGTAGTAGGCACCTTGTTCTTCCCTGAGAGTTCGGAAGACCAAATCTTTCGGAGTCGGTGTCTGTACTTTCTTTTGCATCCTGGATGCGCCGTTGTTGCATATCCAGATATGTATAGGTCTCTCCGGCATTCAGATGCCATAGGTGCTTCCGTCTGCGATTTACTAATCTTTAGTGAAAAGTGGCATTTACATTTAATAAAATAAATGAATTTTCACATTTTTGTAGTTTATTTAAAATTAATGTGTTTTCCATCCCTTTGGAAAATTTGAGTTTTCATTTTCAGCAATTATAAGGTGTATAAATTAATCAAAAATAACGTACAATTTTAGAATTTATAGGTATAAACATTTTACACATAAATAATAGTAAAATTTTACACCGTATCATTAGTGTCTAGTATACATCTAATTGATGTGTCCCTATATGTACCTCGTGTGGTGTCAATTTGGTGTGAAATTTTACACCGTATTTTCAACTGTGTAGGTATACACTGTATTGTTTTTATAAATAGGCATATGCTAGGTACC